CGGCCGCAGGGGCCGCTCGGTCCGTCGGTCCGTGGGGCCGCAGCCGCCTCGCCTCACTTCACACAGTCCGCGCGCCGCCAACCGCCGCCGCGCACGCACGCGCCGAGCGCGCTCCCGCAGCGCCCAGACAAAAAGGCCCGAGACGCCCACGGCCCCGCCCTCCCCCGCCGCCATAGAGCGGCGTCCTCGCGGCTAGAGCGGCGCCGTGGCAAAGAGCGCGCTGCTTTCCTAGAGCGTCTCCTTGGCCGTCAGGGTCGGCCCCAGCACCGTCCAGGCCCTAGGGCTTCTGGGCCAGACCGCACCTCCGAGGGCGACCGTTTCCTCCACGGACTGGCATGCGTTCGTAAATTCATTCATTCACTCACTCATTCATTCATTCACCTACTCATCCGTCAATTCGACCAATACTTATTAATGCTGACTACGTGACAAGGGTTTAATTATGAAGTTCTTGCTTTCAAAGAGCTTACAGTGTCGTGAGGGGAAAACACTGAAACGTAACCGGTAGATCATCTTATTTATTCGCCATCGTCCTGCTTGGACTTGGGAAATCTTGGAGAGTGTGGGAGATCAAGATTTGGCCACCCTGAAATATATCCCTTTACCTTGATTTTTTTCTCTGACCGACATTTGACCTCCCCTACTACCTGCCTAAAGAATTTGACATAGTGACTCCTTCCTGGAACAGCTCTTCTATCTGATGGCTGTAATATAATGTAAAATAGATGTTACAATAGGAAAGGCACCAACAAGCCCATCTTATTGGAAGTTCTGTCTCTCTGGCCACCTTCTCTGGAGGGCCCTGCGAGGAGTTACCAAACATTTACATTTATAAGGGAAATCTCCATTTGTAAAGGTATCTCCCTCTCTGCATTGGAAAGAAGGGGGATGACCTCATTTCTAGAAACTTACCAATGTGGAAAGTGAGGCCTTAAATCTGCATAATAACCTTACTCTTGTTTACTGTGCTTTAGTGGTAATCTCCTGTAACTGACTCCCCCCACCCCCAACATCCTCCTTTGTCATTGGCTGAACATGGTATTTAAGACAAGAATTTCTGCTATTGTGTTGAGAAACGCAGTATCCCTGGTTTGTCTCATGTATACATGTTATTAAACTTGGTTTTATTTTCTCCTGCTAGCATGTCTTGTTAAATATGTTCTTATTCCCATAAGAACCTTAAGGGAAAGGGCAGAGGGGGATTCTCCCTCTTCCCCCGCAAGAGCAAATGAGTTTGGTGGTGATCAAATGGACAGAAGTTAGGAAATCCAGATATGAATCCAAACAGGATTGCTCTTGCCTCCAGGGTTTTGTTTATGCTCTTCCTTCTCTCTGGACCCCCTCCCGGGTCGGGCTGCCTCACTCGCACCTCCTCCCACTCCCTATGCCGCACCCCCCCCACACACACACACATACAGAACATCTCTTTCTATACCGGGTTAATTCTTTTCAATGCTTCTGATGGTGGTAATGAAATTCTTTTAATTCTTCCAGGACTGCTTCACTGACCCAACGCTGGAACAGGGCTGTGTTCTTCAAGCTTATTTCTGCTTATGACACAGAACTGTAATTTTTAACATGTCTGTCTCTTCAAAGTATAATTTTCAAAAAATGACTCCATTTACATGAAGTTCAAGAACTGGAAAAACTAATTTCTAGTGATAGAATCCAATCAGTGGTTGCCTGGGAGGAGGGTCGGGGCTGACTGCAAAAGAGCAGGAGAGAACCTGCTGGGAGTGATGGAAATGTTTCATATCTTGATTGGGGTGGTATATACATGAGTAAAAAATTATTGAACTATACACGTAAAATAGGTATATTTTATTTTAGGTCAATTGTACTTCAATGAAGTTGAATTATTTTTTTTAAAGCTAAGCAAACAGAAAAAAAGAGGCAGGTAAGCCCAGGAAAACCAGAAGCTGTGCAAGAAAGTGTTATCATAGTACAACTTAGGACTTGGCTGTGACTACATGGCCATGCTAACATAAGCAATGAATATTATTTTAACCAAAGTGATAGAATTTTATTGAAAGAATGGAGAAAAGAGAAAGTTTGTGGAGGACAGGGAGGAGAGGGGTTTATGGGAGGGGGGACGAAGTGGGAATGGGGGAGGTTCTACCTGGCAGCTGAATCCTCATCTTCCATCATAAAAAGATAATATATAATGTCAAAATTGAGAAATCCAGAAATAACAGTGTAAACATACTATTTAGACATACGAAGATAAATATCAGAAGAAACAGCTAGAAGAGTTGGAATTGGTTGTCTGAGTCGTAGAATGTGAGGGTGGGGAAGTGTGACACAGGAGATGGAAGCTTGTTTGTTTTAAACACTGTACTTCTATCTAACTGGTTTGCACATTTAATAATTTGACAAAATTTATTATTTTCTTTTTTGTGTGTGCGTGAGGAAGATCAACCCTGAGCTAACATCTGATGCCAATCCTCCTCTTTTTTTGCTGAGGAAGATTGGCCCAGAGCTAACATCCGTGCCCATCTTTCTCTACTTCCTCTACTTTATATGGGACACTGCCACAGCATGGCTTGACCAGCAATGCATCAGCACACGCCAGGGATCTGAACCCCAGAACCCTGGGCTGCCGAAGCGGAGCACGTGCACTTAACCTCCTAGCACCGCTGGGCTGGCCCCTGATAAAATTTAAAATTAGATTTTTAGAGGGGCTGGCCTGATGGTGTAGTGGTTAAGTTCACGTACTCTGCTGTGGCGGCCCAGGGTTTGAAGGTTCAGATCCCAGGCATGGACCCACACACTGCAGATCAAGCCATGCTGTGGCGGCATCCCACATACAAAACAGAGGAAGATGGGCACAGATGTTAGCTCAGGGACAATCTTCCTTAGCAAAAAGAGGAAGATTGGCAACGAATGTTAGCACATGGCCAATCTCCCTCGCCAAAAAAATAAATAAATAAAATTAGATTTTTAGAATATATGTATCCTTTGACCCAGCAATTCCCCATTAGGAAGATATCCTAGGGAAATATGTATGTGTACGAAGATTTAACTTCAATAGTGTTTATCTCGGGCTATATATAATAACAATAAAAGAGAACTAACCTAAAGGCCCAACAAGTGGTGACTAATTGAATATATTCGAATATCATAGCCATTAAAATTGACATTTGAACATAAAGAAAACTCCCATACAAAATAGTGAGCATATATCAAAGATTTATTTAACTCATTATTGAGAGAGCCAGCAGGATGATAAAGCTGGTTCGAAAGAAAATATGAGAAACTGATATATAGTCACTGGTCAGTGGAAAACAGAATGCTGGAATAAGATTGCAAAGGTAAATAAGAAAAAAATGGTTAATGTCCTATAAGGCCATAAAACTGTAAACTTTTTGGAGGCTTATCTTTTCTATCCAACAGAACTCATTTGCATCTATTTGCCAAAAAAAAAAAATCATTTGCAACTTATCCATTTTTCCCCCACAAATAACTAATTCATCTCAATTTTTAAAATTGAGGTAAAATACACATAACATAAAATTTATCATCTTAACCATTTTTAAATGTGCAGTTCACTAGTGTTAAGTACGTTCACATGATTGTACAATCTCCAGAACTCTTTTCATCTTATAAAACTCTGTACCCATTAAACAACAACTCATTCCCTTCTGCCCCCAACCCCTGGCAACCACCATTCTACTTTCTGTCTCCATAAATTTGAC